GGCACTACATCCTGAGGCTCAGGATTAGCTGGAGACCAAGACATGATAGCAGCTTGGAGCACCTCAAGTTCTTCTGCCACACAGCAGTGCTTATGAAGATTTCTAAGGGGAGAAACATATTTATGTGACAATTTCTTGTATGAATGCCTGATTGGCAATGGAAATGACACCCTCTGTCTGCTATCAGCACCTGTCCTCTGATCACATTGACTTGCTGGTGCCATAGATGGTCAGATACAGATCATGACAGTATTGAAAGAACAAAAGTGGAGAAGGTGACACAATCACATAGATCAATTTTACAAGGCCCAGCCATCAACATTGTAACCCACCAATTTGGAGGGCATTTTGGTGGTTGTGGGTTCCAAAAATTTGAAGGCAGTTTATTTTTAGAAACCTACAGACCCATATCTCAGGCAGTCTATTTTTAGAGCAATCCAAACCATTGGCTCTAATTTAGAAGTGACCCTTCCAGGCCTATTGGAACTGACCAAATAATGGGCCTACAAGTTCAATGCCTTAGGTGGCAAAAAAGGGCTCTATCACAGGATGACCTCATCAAAGCTGTTGATCAGTGGGGTTCCTCACAAGACCACAATGACATGCTTTTCCTTGCCATGTTCCTAACAGGATTCTATGGCCTGTTACGGTTAGGCAAACTCTGTGATCTGGATAATGTGTCATTGCAGGACAACTGGAAAATGATAAAGTATCTCTCCATAAATGCCTTGCAAGACACCTTCAAATTCTGGTTGCCTGTTCACAAATCTGAACCTCTATTTGAAGGAAACAAAGTAGTTATCTGATGAATTTGCCATACATCTGACCCATATTTGAGGTTCACTAATTACTTACACTCACACTCATGATGCTTCCCAATCTGTCAGGAATTTGGATCACGTCAAAGGGATCTGTTCCTACTTGTTCCTTTTTCATGAAGAGAATGAAGCTCCTGTTCAATACTTTGTATGGTGGCCAATCTTTCCTTGCTGGAGGTGCCACTTATTATGCAGAGTTGGGCATGCCCCCACACCTAATTCAGGCTGTTGGCCATTGGTCTTTGCCTGCCTTCCATCACTACATTTGAAAGAATCCTGTGCTTCTCCTTTTCATACTCCTTTTCCAACAGCCAAACTGATCACCTGTTTTGTTTCTTTCTATTATTTTTTCTCCCTCTTAAACACTTTTGTTTTCATTTTTACAAACAATTCAGTTAGTTGTATCAAACAGACATCTGCAGTCATCATTTATCTTTCTTCTTGCAATTTCTATTGACTCTTTTTCTTTGAAACAGATTCTATTTTTTTGTTAAATAATATCCATTCCTTTTGTTTATTTGATTTTTATTATTTCTCAATTTATTCTTATTCCTTTTAGCCTTATAGCTATTATCTTTGGCAGAAATACAAATAAACCAATCAGGGGAATGGCTATTGTTGCCCTATAGATTGGACAACCATTGCTATAACACATTTACTGGTGCTGGATCAAAAATCATTGGTAATACAAACAGTGCAGCTCATCTCCTTGACATATGGTTTGATTCAAATTTGTGTTTGCATCAGAAGAGCAGGTGCAACTGGTTTCTGTGCCCCTCTATGACTTTCTTCTGACCCTTGCACAGAAACACCCTTGTCCAGTGCAAAGTCTTAAGACTGCTGCTACATTCCAGCTGCCCAATTTTGCCATAGACAAAGCTGGCCCTTATGCTGAGCCTTGAATACCCCAGCTTGTGCTCCTATGTCTGCACTACCAGTGAGAAGCTCTTAGGCCCACCTGGCAAAGAACCTGCACCTCATCTGACTTGCTGTCATGGGCAAGTCCAACTTAATGTGATAAAGGTACATTGCACAAGCCTTCTCTGTTGAGAGAAGTCAACCTGTTGTGTAGACCCAAACAATGGTGCTTGTACTCATGGCCTTTATTGCAATGTGCACCTTCTGCTCATTCTCCTCCATTGCCTTCTACCTCTCCTCCACCTCCAAATTTGTTGCACTCATCCTCCCTCTATCCTTCATGCCTCAGACTCCCAAGTGACACTGCAGGCCCTCTTTGAAGTCCTGATGACCTCAACCCAAGGCACATACCAGCCGCTGCTTGCTGCGCTAGTTGCACACTACACCAGGAGGAGTGCAACATTATAGACCTCATCCTGCAGTGCAATGAGCCTGGAGATAAACTGGGTGCTTGAAGCTCCACATGCTGACTAGCTCAGCTGGTTAGAGGTTGTGCTAATAATGCAAAGGTCTTGGGTACTAACTTTGTCAGGTTAAAGCCAGGTGAGTCAATCTTCCTCAGCACAGGGGAGCTGCATGCATATGTCAGTGGGGGTACATGCACACCCTCTCCCCCCTCATGTAAAGAAAAATGCACTGACTATTGACTATGTTTTGCAAGAACAGAATGTATCAAATGCATGGCAAACTCAGACAACATCATCTGCATGAGGCTTACCCCCAAGGCTCCACAAGCTGACTAGCTCAGCTGGTTAGAGTGTCATGCTAATAACATGAATGTCTTGGGTTCAACCCCTACATTGGCCATTGTGTCTAAGAAATGTCTTTTATCTACATGCAATTTGATCATTGCATGCTAGAGAAAAACTCAGCAACCAGGAAAAAAGAAAATCTCAGCTGCCTGGTGCCTTTCTCACCACCAGGTGCATGTATTTTTTGCCATCCAAATAGGTAATGATGGAACTTGAATCTCAAAAGAAAAAGTTCACAAATGAGAAGATTAAATCAAAAAATATGCGTGAACTATGTGGAGTGAGAATTAAGTGTACCAGTTCACTCCAGACTCACATGGAAAGAAATTCCACTTTTCACTACTGGTCAGGTGTGGAAAGCAGTGTGGGTTTCTATGTAACAAACCATTGGAGTAACATATGGAACACATCTGTGCATATTACTGACTTATGATTGTGTTGTTGTGCACCTTGTACTATGAA